TATTATCTCTGGTAATAATTTCTTGAACACCTCTTTCCAACTTTTTCCCATATGAATGACGACATGAAACCTCTTGTTTTTTAACCTGCATAGTGTACTTTCCTTTAATACTTACTTTTAGAAATAAATGAGCTATTGCCATGTCTGTTGTAAGCTCCTGCTTTTCATAATAACTTACATCTATCAATTCCGAAGATATAATTATGGGAAAATTTTTTTCTTCAGATAGTAGTTTACTCCACAAACAATAAATTTGGTTGATGATTGCGAACTGCTTGAATTGATTTCGGTTTCCGCAGAGATCTTCTAGGAACATAGAGGAAGTAATTTGAGGTGCTGACTCATGCAAAATCTTCTACATCTCTCTATCACTTCTTTCTTACTCACTGAATCTAAGGATTTTTCAGTCTTCTTATCCTCCAACGATTTATACTTAAGTGTGCTAATCAAAACGTTAACAACAACTGTTCTTACTTGATTTTCCCGACATCACAATTTAGTTCTGCAATGAACTCAGCCTTTTCTTTATCGATCTACTTTAGTTTACGAATATGTACTTATTCTCTTCCACATTCTGCCTTATTTTAGCATTTCGGCATTCTCAGCCAGAAACCCTTGTTTCAATAACTTAAGTTCAGACTACATATTCGATAACAACTTTCTATAAGACGTATTATTTAAAATGTATTTTACCCAAGTGGGACTTTGGTCCCACTTTTTTTTCATCATACACTTTCATACGAATCAGATCTTCTTTATACAAATCTTTATAGATGCAGTTAATAAATTACATGTTTCAGCTACGATATACAGATTTGTTTTACAAAGTGAAATGGCATTTTTATACTAAGGTCTGGAAACCACACCAGTTTTTCGAATGCCTACACTACTAATACAAATTATCTCACTCCATGGTCTGGTTTTATTTGTCCCATTCATCGATATTGTGGATAAAACAAAAATGGTCGTCAGTTATATTAATAAGAGACGCAGTGTCAGAAATAAATTAACAGCATTAACCTTATTAAAAACCTTTGAAAATTTATGTTATTTGCATTCCGTGTTGCTCGTAAGGTCCTCAGAATCTATACGAAAAAGTGGTTAATACTTTGCAAGCTATGAAGTCGCTTCCTTGCAAATGCGAAAGAAATATTCATACATACCTTAATTGCACAATGCTGTTTCAATAATTTCTTTCAAAAAAGCGATATGTCAGCTACTTTTAAACGTATAACATAACGACTTTGGTTGATTTGTATTGCAAGTAGATCACACAAAGCCACATTCGACCGAAAATTTTCGTAATTATATAAATATCTGGATTATTCTGATGAAATTTTTTTCGATATATTTTTGGTATACTTTGTATTTATATATTTTGAGTCAATTTTATATATATATTACTTGTATATTATATTTAGGTCAACTAAAAGCTTATAGGGTTTATTTATTATCTATTTGCTAATAACTAGTCACCATAAAATGTCTAGTGAATGGTCATCATGAAAAAATTTACTTTATTGATGTGATAACATATGACGTATCGTATGTAACTCAAAATGATTATATATCTTTCATAATGTGTCTGATCCTCAAAAAATTTTTCAAAGCTCTCGTCCTATTTCGCATTACAGTTACAGTAAAATGACTTTATCTTTATATTTTGCCCTAGTTAATCCTTTAACGAATCCTTTCTCAGTTAACATTCCTGAAAGAGGTATTTCCATTAAAGAAATTTTATACAAGGTTGAACATATCACTTTTGGGTATTTCAAGATACTGATATGTAAAGAGAAGTCAGAACTCCTTAAAACAGATGAAGCCGCTGATCAGACGTTATGGAAGGTTGAAGGTCTTAGTGAAGGCAACAATAAGTGGGTAATACTTGAAAAAAAAGTCCCATATAACCGAAATTGACATTATAGGTCTTGAAGGTAAAAAGTTACTCTCAAATGAGGTTATTCATGGTTCTTCACACGTAACTACAAATAGCATTATCATTATGCAACCGTCACCGCCTACTGCTACTGGTAAATGTCTTCAAGTGTTTTGACTCTCGAACAAGAAATTTAATTTACAGTATCACTAAATTTAATTGTCTTGCTTGTACAAGTCTTAAACGGCCAATTTCCGAATTCAGTTCTCAAAACAAGAGGGCGCGTAAACTTGTGAAAACCGAAGGACCTGTAGATGTCTTAAGAAATTTTTATGTTTCATTTAATGTTCTGGAGTCAACCTGTAAGCCGGAGGAAGCCATAAATGAACACGTGTGCGTATTCCTAGTGGGGCATTTTCAATCTGGAAAATCATCAACTCTACATTATTTCAATGGTATCAAAGAGAATTATATTTATATACATTCATCAAAGTTAGCGATAGGATTCCTTTATGGATTGTATGACTGCCTTTCTTTGGATTTATGTAATAATATAAATGATTTTGATTATAAAATTGTGAAGAAATACCGGAAGGAGTAGATAGTAATCATGATCGATGAATTTGACTGATTCTTACTTAACCAATACCAAAATACTGTACAATCAATCAGATAAGAGAACTAATCAAATTTGTAAATGATAGGGGGCGGAAGGAATCAAATTGATTGTTTTTGCAGGCAGTTTTTCAATTTCTACAATGATTGAAGACAGAAATTTACAAATTAAAAGTGTCATTGAAATGTCGTCACATGAGTTGTTACAAAAGTCATCACAGGAATTTTCACTGAAAGAGAAACAGATCCATTCCTGTCTTCAAAAGCCAGTAGAAGTTCCGTCACCATTAAATTCATCAAAATCATTGAGGCGTCAGATTTTAACAAAGGGCAACACGTGACATTCTATCATGATATCCAAATAAATAGAAATCTTTATTTTAGTGAAAAGGTTGTTGATGATATTTACAGCCATACTAATGGTTACGCTGGATTAGAAGGTCTTTTTGCATCCTTGTGCATTGAATATGCTAGTGATGAGAAATCTCTTGACTTTAGTACATGGAACCATTGATTCACAGAATTTATTCGTAATCCTATAAAAAAGATTAGTGGGGTTAAACATATTGAAAAATACCTCACTGATAATAATGATAATACCTTTGTCAAAGATGCAAGGCATCTTTTAGAGCGCTTTTTACAAAGAGGAACTTTGTCATCATCAGAAATTGTTGATAATAATTTAATTGCCATTGTGCATTTGCGTGCAATTGGTATCATTAAATGCAAGGACAACTATTTTGAGTTCACTTCTAATATTATTCTCGATCTATTGTCAAGCATTTATTATCCTGTCTATGATAGAAAAGCTTTTGCAAGAATCCCAGTTATTAATTCACCTCTAGACTTCTTGAAAAAGGTTTTGGACCTTTTAAAGTATATTAATCATGATGTAATTTTTGATCCCTTAGCCACAAACCAACACTCTTTTTCTGAACCAGTTATTCAAGGAGAACTTTATTCTTCACTATGTACAGCTGTATCATACCCAGCGTTTAAGGTTTTTCGTGAAACTAGAACTTTGAAGAAATCTAAAAAAAAATGCAACATCTGGATGTGCAATAACAAAGAGTATGGAATCGAATGTAAAGTCAACAAGATTTCTGATTATGACATTATAAGTGCAGCAGATCAGGCTATTGGATACAAAGAAGGACGAGAAAATGTATGCTGTATGCTCGTCTTAAACTTTGTGCCATGTGACAGTAAACCCCATGATTATAATTCACTTTTCCAAGCGTTGATAAATTAAGAGATGAAATCTACTTTGAAACAGTACATATATTGTATTCTCAAGCAACTATAAACGCAAAAATCCTTCGCAATTGTATGGAGGATGAGGAAATTTCTTTTGCAAGTTATTAAACAACATACTACTATATAACACAATGCTAGTTAATATCTTTCATTTTATTATGAATAAACTCTATATGTAAATGCAAGCTACAATTTATAGTGTTAATTCTTTGAAGTATAAATATGTAACATGAGAATATTTCGCTATATATTATACTGATCTTTTTATTTTCCGATGCACAATCAATATCATGCAGTATTATAGAAGGTAAGCGAAATTTTATTAAAATAATATTGCAGATGCGTTAGCGAAATCCCAGTATCGCGGGAAAAACAATCTTATCTGAGGTAAGTACTCCGGAGAAAAGAACATTTCCGAATTTTTGAATTCAGATTTCAGATTACAGGTAGTGTATTATTTCTACTTAATTAAATTTCTTGGCAAAATTTCGCTGATGGCGTCGGAAGGAAGGGAAAAATAATGGATTATTCATGGCAACCCCATCCCCATTCCATGTAATTTAGCCGAAATATCAAGTCCCTTGAAATGGGAAAATATACTACCTGAAATTTGGAATGGCTATCTGTTACTTATGCAATAAATATGTAGGTGAATTAATAGGTGAAAGATGTGTATATAACAGATTGGAAGGCAAGTTTATAACCAAGAAATTCAGATATATTTCCTTTAATGCGTCATGATGTATATTTAATCAGTATTTGTTAAATTTCATTTGGGTAAAATCACGTGAATTTTTCTTGCCATTTTTTCCAGTCTCTTAAATTTCAGTCATATGATTTCGATCTGCTATTAACAGATAGTTTTTTTCCCGAGTTTAATTTTTTCTTACATAATTAATATTAATCCCGATCTTACGATGCGATGAAGTTTAATTGTATTATTGATGAAGATACCAACATATATAAATAAGGAGTCTATTTTAAAATTTCATATCACTACTTTTTTGTGTTAACTGTTTTTATTTTAATTTTTCAAGTTTATACGCTTGGCAAGACAATTTAAATCAAGAAAAATGGATGAGACAGTTGATAAGACAGTTCGTGGAAATTCTCAGGTTTTTTATTGATCTTAAAGTATATGTTCGGGGCGTCAGTTCACAGCGGAATAAACACAAACACGATAACAGCAGTAGGTGCACGAGAACAATCGCTTAATATCCATGACGAGGATGGAAAGTATCCCGATAATACAATGGTGCCATTCGAATGTTGCCCAAATCAAAAGAAAGTTCGGTCTTTGCAACTATCCTTGGGGCATCTGCGCCGAATCGATACCTTGGAGGGAAATGCATGGACCGAAAACACGTGTCGTCTTGTGGTCCCAAAAGTTCATTCAGAATTCCGAAAATCATGTGCCGTGCTGAAAGGAAAAACAAAATACATCTCGAGAGGGTTGCAATAATTCGAAAAATCCGCTCATGATAGTCGAAATGATCGCAAATAAAAAAATATCGTAAACATTTTGCAAATTATCTTAACTGTAATCTCGAAAGTGGGAATCCTTCTACTTGTATATGGTATATAGAATACATTAAACATTATGGTTTTTATCACATCATTATCATCGGGAGATGTTTACGCTGGATTTTTTTTTTTGGATTGCTACGGTCGTGTGTTCGTATGGGACAACTCTATGCAAGCTATTTCATGGCCATTTGGAGATTTTTGAAATGAGGCGACAAAGGTATCTTCTATTACTCAACGTAAAATATGGTTGAGCTCGATGGAAATATTGTTGAATTTAACGCTATAAATGGTATGTTGAGATTTTGCTCATTCTTTTCTTTATCTTAATATTATAATTAGTTTCTTTCTCCTAGATTTACCAAATGAACTACCTTTGACAAATCCACCACCAAAATAGTTGATGCTATTGCAAAGAAGAAAAAGAAATCGAAAAAAAAGAAGAGCTCGAAAAAGAAACACATTGATTAGGTGTCATATATTGTGTATTGATATATTGTAAAGTGTTCTTTCGGATTTAAATCTTTATTAGTATTATTCGCGTAAATAATAATCAGTGATTATAAATATATATAGCATCGGATAAATTCAATGTATTTTTCGTCATAAATAATAAAGATTTTCGTAAAGATTTCAGATTCCACTTCTACCATGACCTATAATTCCGCAAAATCCTTACTCTGTCATAGTTTAGTTGGGACATTAAATATCAAACTACTTCAATAAGCTTTCGAATAAAAATATATGAACGAGTAACTGTGCATCGGAAAATTTTTTAACTCGTAATAATGTTACGATTATTTTAACGAGTCAAACATCCATACAGAAAGTTCTGGGATCATTTCCAACAAAGTCTGCGGAAATGTAATAAAATTAAAGTATAAAAAATGTATAAAATAACAAAAAATACGTCAATCAAAAAACCTATTAAAAAATATGAACAAAACTTACTTATCTAATTAATAATCAAACTTAATAAAGATGACTTTATTTAAAAATAGTACGAAATAAAAATTAAAAAAATTAAAAAAAACAAAACAAACTTAAATTTTAAAAAAGATTATTCTGACGATCGAGAAAATTTGATTTCTCTTTTTATCTTATTTTGTAATTATTTCGTTATAATTATTTATTATAATACGTAATTTATTATATTTATTGTATCAATAAAGTAGGGTCAAACTTCGCATTATATGGGTCGTTTGCTATAAATCAAATTACGTGTCATAATAAACCATATAATCCGAACATGATTTTAATTGCTATCCCATCCCATATCATCTAATCAATCCTATTTCAAGATTTGTTATATCGGTGAACTAAACTTC